TCAAAAAACAAAACAAAAATTTGGAAAAATGCTACTCAAAATTGATTTATAAAAAGCTTTTGATAGATTAGAATGGTCTTTTATAAAACAATCTCTTACCATTCTAAAATTTCCTAACAATATAATTAACCTTATAATGTCTTGCATATCCATATCATCAATTTCAATCCTAATAAATGATACTCCTACAAATTATTTCCTCCCGACTATCCTCATACATTTTCATAATCTGTATGAAATCGCTTACTAGATTAATAAACTATGCGACCCAAAAGTAACATTGACAGTCGATAAAGATTGATAGAATAGGTATACATATATCTTGCTTATTAGTTGCTGATGATATCATCCTTATGACTAAAGCAGATAAATAAAATGCCGCTACTACCATACAAATCTTTAATACGCTATCAACGCAATCAGGGGTAAAAATAATTTCAACAAATCCTAAGTTTTTTTTTTTTTTTTCCTAAGTTAACTTCTCAACAAATGTTTTTAAAAAGGATAAAAATGAACTCTCCACTATTATGAACATCCGACAAAAAAAATAGGATGGGGAAGTACCTTGGACTTCTCATAACTAGTTATCACCATAAGAGTCTGGATTACCAATATATCATAGACCACATGAATAACAAATTAAAAGGGTGAAAAACTCGGTTCTTAACCCTAGCAGGAAGGACAACACTAGTTAAAGCAGTCCTAGCTTCCATCCCGACCTATGCCATGCAATGCAACATCCCTCCTAAAGAAAACTGTAAACATATCGATCGTATCCAAAGAAACATTCTCTGGGGGGTTCAACATCAGAAAAGAGGTGACTCCATTTAGCAAATTGAGGCCTTGTGACTACTCCTACTAAAGATTGTGGGCTAGAAATATAAAAAACAAACGGAAAAGATTTTTTCCCTTCTAGCCAGCCGAAATTGGAGAGTCCTTCATAATAACGACCAACTGATCTGGACAAAAGTACTCGCAAGAAAAATATAATAATAGAGGAAAATGTACTATAACCAAATACTACCCTTAAGACTCATACATTTGAAAAAGTTTTATAAAAAACATTTTCCTTACTTCATATGGGATTGTTAAGGAATGTGGGAAATGAGAATAAAATTAATATATGGGAAGAGAATTGGATTGAAGCCTTGTACTGATCACTATGTAAAGCAATTGAAGGTCCCCTAAAAAAATGACCACAACAATTCAGTATCTCAACTTATTCTAAATAATAACTCGAATTTATCAAAATTATCCTTCAATATGCCTAGAACAATAAGAAATACAATCCAAAATACCTACATCCGAACATCCCACCAAAATTGATAGAGTTTGCTTGCAAAATAAGTCATTAGTTCTCATCACGCAGAACTATATTAGCTTTGCTTTAGGAGCTGAACTTAGCGCATAAATAAACATTAATCATTTGCTGGTGGAAATCGATTCTCAGGTATTACTGAACACCTTAGAAAGTGTTAAGTCAATATACTCACACATTAATTCTGATTGCAGGTCATTACTCCTACTGATGAACGGATCAACAGTGAAACACATAATGAGGGAAGCTAACCTAGTAGCAGATATATAAGAGGAATATGGAAGGAAAACTATGGATTCAAATATGTCTATAAAGAAGTTATTTGTTTTTGAAACATCTCCTTCCTATGTTTCAAAATCTCTTGAAAGAGATGCCAATGAAACTATATTGTTTAGATCAGTTCCTTTTTGTATAGATGAATCATCTATTCAATAAAAAAAAATCCTTCCAATTCCAAAACAAAAATAAATAAAACGTGTTAGTCTGTTGTAGTAAGGTCATATTAGTACTAATACTAGACCCCCCCCCCCCCCGGCCCCGCCAAACAATACCAGGCCGCGCTGTTACTATTTTGTAATGATGCATAATAATTATTAATATAATATCCTTATTTATCAACAAAAAAGAAAGTCAAGGCTTTTGTTAAATAATTGCTTTATTACTTAATTCATTTATCATTTCTTTGATTGTTGTTGAAGTTTTGTACCAGTTTTTAACAAAACAAGTTATTTAGTTTGAATTTTTAAGATATTTTAGGTTATTTTAAATTTCAAATTATACAGATTATGTTTTTATTTGGCTATTTAAAGCCCATTGCTTAATTGAAAGGTACTGAAAGCCATTTCAATCTATTGAGAGATATTTCAATAAATCCTTTTGCTGCCCCATTTTTAAAAAAAAACATCAATAGTGATATCACAAGTTTCATTGATATTATAGAATCTGTGATATCTTTCAAAGAACTATCATACCATTTTTAACCCGTAAAGGATACCCTTTTAACTCATTATGGCTACCTATTTTAATTCGTCAGAGCTACTATTGTCTGCCCGTATTTTTTCAATGCACAAGCTTTTCTAAACTAATTTTTAACCAAAAATAATGGCAAGCAACAGTCTCTCTTTGAATGCCCCAAAAATTCTCACTGACGAAAACTGTCAAATTTGGTGAGTGAAAATGAAATCATATTTTATAACCTATTACATATATATTGTTGTGATGAAAAACAACTACTTACAACAACACTTTGCAAATCCTATAATTGTCCAAATACAAAAACTTTCAAAAAAAAAAGCTTCTATACAAGAAGAAGAAATTTTGCAAGTTAAAAAGTAATGAATCTAGCATCAACTACCAAAGCAAAAATTGAGGATGACCATTTTTTCATTTGCATGAACTGAAGCAAAGGAGGAGTGTTGAAGTTTGTTTTTAATTACTGTAGTATTTTTTAGCAAAATAAGTTGTTTAGTTTAAAATGAACTTGAATTTTGGAATTTTAGTTACATTGTTTGTAGGGATGGTAATGAAATATCGAAAACTGAATTATCGAATCAAATCGAATTTTTAATTTGTTATTTTGTATTCGGTAATCGGTAATTGTGTATTTGGTGTGGTATTCGGGAGTAAAATCTTAGAATTGTGATATTCGGGTTTGGATTTGGTATGAGACATTAGTACCATTTGATATTTAGTATTTCCAGAATACGGAATTATTTACTAAATGAAGGTCATACATCAACATGTCCATTACTCATTAATACAAGTCCAAATAGAAAATTAAAGAATAAACATAAACAATCCAAATACATGTCTTTTAGTTGTATCAATTTATTTTTCTTGATGTCTTCTTACTTATTATCTCCTACTTTATCGTGCCCCCACATAAAAAAATAGAAATAATTGGAGAATATATACTATTAGCTTTATAATACAATCGGCTACACCTTCAGTACAGTATTACCGAATATCATATCAAACCGAAATTTAATTTACCGATTATCGAATTATTGAATCGAAGTTTAAACTTTTGGTATTTGATATCTACTTTTAACTACCAATTACCAAATTATCGAATCCAAAATTTGATAATCCCGATTCGAATTCCAAACGTCACCCCTAGTTGTTTGAACTGATGATTAGGTTGTTTTAAATTTCTAATTATACCGATTATGTTTTTTATGTTGGATATTTAAAATTTAATTCTTATTTGAAAGCTATTAAAAGCCATTCCAATCAATTGAGAAATATTTCAATAAATCTTTTCTATTGCCCCATTTTTTTAAAAACACCAACAATTATCATAAAAAAACTCTTCTGACCTTCATGTTAATTATTATATGAAGGGGATAAAAAGCCGGTTGAAGATCACTTGGAAGTAGTGAAATAAACTTTACAACAATTTTAATTAAAAAAATAAAATAAAATACCAGTGAACATAAATGTGACTAAAGAAAGGGAACCACACTTGGGAATATTTCAATAAGAAAGAAAATATTGATTGACTTGGTCAAGTGGAATAAAGTGAAATTAAAATAATGCAAGGGGAGTGTACTACTTCAATATTTTATTTTTATTTTTATTATACTGAGCTTCTATTTATTATTGATATGGAAAAAGTTACAAATTGAGTTTGACATCCCAAATTATTTATATGATCAGTGAATTTACTACTTCAATTATAATATTTTAAGGTATAGTAGAAATTTTAAAACTAACTATATTAATTCTCTAATTCATTTTAAGAAATGGTTACTTAATAATGAAAATAAAAATTAGTAAAAGAATATATAATTTACTAATGTGAATAAATTGAAGAAAAACTATATATATATTTTTTTTAATAAACTGAAGAAAATATTTGAAAATAGGTGGAATATAAAATAACTCAAGTAAATTGAAAAGTGAAGTTTGCTTAATTAGTACTCCTATCTTCCACTCCAAATAGCGTTTTAAAGGGTTGAACTGTGACAAATACAAGTGTTGAAGCATTATTGGTTCCTCTAAAAGCGGTACTATCAGAGCAAAACAACAAATCTATATATGAATATGACTAAACAAGTTGGCATGAGACCATGTCAGCTACATTTAATAAAACATGAATTACACACACTAAAAGAAAATACATTAATCATGAAATTGTAATCATAAAATGAAGTTCCTTATTTATTTTTTGATGTTCGATAAATAAGAAGAAAATATTATTGCAGTGGGAATGGGGGATAGAATGGGGATATGCGCGTGGGGGTTGGGCTTAGGTGTGGTGTGTTAATTAGATGGTGAGAAAATACAATAATCTTAGAATATCATTTATGAAACTTTTTTTTTTTTTTTTACTTTTATTAGAAAATTTACTTTTAAAATAATTTATTTTCTAGAGAAAATATTTTAAAAAATTTAACCTACCAAACATGAGAAAATCAAAAAGTACTTTACCTCGTGCCAAACACACCCGAAAGCTTTAAAGAAAATATCTTGGTATACAAATTTCCAGTCAAGCAAGTTTGCAATAATTGATATGCACTTTATTATTTTAAAAAAATTACAAAAATGACAAACAAAGTATTAAAAAACGAAAAGTTACACATAATAAATTGGACAATATAATTGGGTGGACTCAAACTACTATAAATATGTGAAGGGGCATATTGCAACTTACACACACTAATAAGAAGCAAAAGCAATTTTCTTTCTACTTAGTAGTTACTACTCTATCTTTTTTAGTAGCTATGGCTAGCATATCATTGGTATTACTAATAATATTTCCTTTTCTTCTTAGATTGAGCTCTGCTCAATCCTTGTCCGCCAATTTCTACTCTTCATCGTGCCCAAATGTCCTCTCGGTTATTAAAACCGCGGTGAATTCTGCTGTTTCTAGTGAGGCTCGAATGGGGGCTTCGTTACTTCGTCTTCATTTCCATGATTGTTTTGTTAATGCGAGTTACCTTTAACCTTATTTCCTTCTCTAGCTAATAAATAACTTTCTTGTTTCATAATTAATGTCCATGCATGCATACATATGTTCGTGAAAACAAGAAAATTTCCTTTTTTCTCATATAGATATATGACTAAAACACTCTAATTAATATGACCTTTTGTACATATTTAGTGGATTTTTTAGCACATATATACATAGGCCATGTCAAAATCTATGGGTTCCGCTTGAACCCATAGATTATGTATTGGATACGTCTGTGTGTGTTGAACCTGTCTAATTTGAGATTGAAGCATAGTTGATTGAGTGGCATATATGAAACTTAAATAGTTGCTTTTTTTTTTTGAGATTATAGTAGCACTAGGTAGGTATGGTATAAGACATTGATATTGACCACTAATTAAGTGCGTGTGTGTGTATTTTGACTTACAGGCCATTGACTTACAAATAAGTTCTATAATCTTGAAATAACATCTTAACTAATTAATAATTCTTGTCTTCTTCTCTATGTTACTATTGAAGCTACTATAGATGATGATGAGATTAAGATAACACTGAGATGACAAGCAACGACTAATGTGACATACACTAATTAAATTAATATGTGACCAATTAATGTATATTCATAACAACTTTACTTTGACGAGAAATAAATTAAACATAAGTGACATTTTTTACTTAATTGAATCAGGGTTGTGATGCATCGGTGCTACTAGATGATACATCAAACTTTACGGGAGAGAAAACCGCTGGACCAAATAGTGGATCGATAAGAGGATTTGATGTGATAGACACTATCAAAACTCAAGTGGAGTCTTCTTGTGCTGGCATTGTATCTTGTGCAGATATTTTAGCTGTTGCAGCACGAGATTCTGTTGTCAAAGTAAGTGGACTTGACCATTATTTTGAAATTTGAAAAATAGTAATTTTTGTTTTCAAAATGAAAAATGAATAAATTGTGGATTTTGTTAGCTTGGTGGCCCTAGTTGGACTGTTTTACTAGGCAGAAGAGACTCAACTACTGCAAGTTTGAGTGCAGCAAACAGCAATCTTCCTGGACCAACTTCGAGCCTCAGTGCACTCATTTCTTCCTTCTCTAACAAAGGTTTAACCGCTAGGGAAATGGTCGCTCTCTCAGGTTTGTTTTATTTTTAACCAAAATTATTAATTAACTAGAATAAGTTCTCTACACTCATCTAGTAAAAAATATTTACACAATCAAATTAATATTTACGAGTAAATCTTTTTAATAAAGTAATTGGTTACCTGATAAAAATGGTAACTAAACAAGTTACCACATGTTAAAAATGGTATTATGCCTCATTTGCATGTTGTAGCTTGTTTAGCTTGCATAAGGTAATTAACCTTAAATTATAATATAGTAAATAACTTGCAATAGCAAATTATATTACATTATTAGAGTAAACGTCCTTTTCATTGTTCATTTATATTACTTAAAAAACCGTCAATTATATATAGTCATTTGTTTGTTACTTATTGTCAGTATGTCCATTAAGTAATATTCCTAGCAAATTGATTATTCATCTTTGACAAAAAGCTTTTCATACTTGTCCTCAACTTTACCAATTATTTATTTAGTACTTCCTTCGTCTCAAAATATTCTTGTCATTTAAGACATAAATGAGACTATAATAGTCAAATACTCCTCCTAATTAAGGAGTAATATTTTCTTAAGAAACATGTAAACAAAAAATACGATAAATATTTTGAGACGGAGAGTGTATGATTCTACTTTGTCACATAAATGTTTAATTTCTTGGAATATTTCAGGAAGTCACACAATAGGCCAAGCGCGATGTACTACTTTCAGAACGCGCCTATACAATGAAGCCAATATAAATGCCTCATTTGCAACTACAGTAAAAGCAAACTGTCCACAAAGTGGTGGTGACAACAATCTTAGCCCACTAGACATCACAAGCCCAACTTCATTTGACAATGCTTACTACAAGAACTTGCAAATTCAAAAGGGCCTTCTTCATTCTGATCAAGTGTTATTTAATGGAGGATCTACTGACTCAATAGTTAACACTTATAGCTCCAATTCCGCGACTTTCTCCACTGATTTCGCAAATGCTATGGTGAAAATGGGAAATCTTAGCCCTCTTACTGGAACCAATGGACAAATCCGTAAAAATTGCAGGAAAACAAACTAAGATTTATGAAAAGAAACAAGTTATTGAGGGTTGCAATGTTTAGACCCTTTTTCTATTTACAGCCAACTTTAATGTTTTGCATTTTTGGAGGTAAAGGTGGTAAGTAACGCCCCCCTCCAATTCCAATATGTAAACGTTCCAAGAAGTGAAATAAAAAAGAGTGTTAAATTTTATATCTTTTTACTATATTAGAAAACAACTAACGATTTAAATGTCATTTTATTCAAATTTTATTTTGCATAGAACACTAAAAGGATGTTGACATATAAGTCAATGCCACAAAACATAGATGAGCTTAATTTGGTCTCAATTGACAATCAGATACTCTAAATTTGAGGATACACATCTAGACACTCTGACTCATTTCCATGGAGTCAGTTGAGCACTCCAACTTACAAAATGATAGTCTAAACACCTCCAAATTATTTATGTGCCATATTAGCATCGAGTGTCCACAAGAAATAATTAATGAGGACGAGATGATGTGTCTAGATGTGCATTATCACAATTGAAGTGTTTAATTGTCAGTTGAAGCCAAATTAAAATATATATCGATCCAATTAAGTAGCATGCCAAAATCAATCATAGCAAAAAATTGTTGCAGCCAAACACATACGCAAAGGTACATAGTTATCAAGTAATAATAAAGTGATTCAAAGTCGGATGTTAAACTCATAGAGACTTGTGATTAACTTTCAACTAAACTTCAACAAATGCAAATATAATTATCTAAACAAGAAATATATAGAATCCAAATTCATAATTATACACTAACTAAAATAAAAAGAAAAGAAATAACAAACTTTTAACCTAGAAAGAACATATTTCATGTTCTCGATAGGTTGAAATTGATCTAGGGCAATGAATTACATAACAATCACGTTGCTTTCTCCAATTGATTTAACTAATTAATTTGTCTATTTTATTGATTGACATGATTAACTGGTTCATCGGATTAAACTATTTTTTTGGACTTCTACCCAAATTTCGGAGCTCCAAGTCGTTGCAACTCCAATGCCAATCTTTAGAATCATTTCCTATTAACACCTCTAATGGAGGTTTTCTGATACTCTATTCTAAGAAGAAGATCAACAATGTGGAAAATAAAATATGTATTGTATTTAATAATATCTCAACCGAGCATTACATGTACATATATATACATCTCTTTCTCATAGCTTAACAGAAAGGATCAGTTATACTAACTTGATTCCCTAACAAACTACTCTGCCACGTCATCTAACTACTAACTAACTATTGTGTCTTCAATACTTCCCCTCAAGTTGTATGGTGCAAACAGATTGTATACACCAAGCTTGGACAACAAAACATCATGTTGAGTCCTCCCTAACCCTTTGGTTAACACATCTGCTAACTGCAATTTAGATGGTACATGACTTGTTTGAATGACACCTTCTTGTATACTTTCTCGAATGAAATGACAGTTAATTTCTATATGTTTTGTCCTTTCATGGTATATAGGATTAGCATCAATCTGTAGTGCTGCCTTACTATCACAAAATAATCTGACTGGCAACTCCAACTCCACCTTTAATTCTTTGTACAAGCCTATTAACCAAACAATTTCTGCCACAACATTAGCCATGCTCCTGTATTCTGCTTCAGCTGAGATCCTTGAAACTGTATTTTGTTTTCTTTGATCTCTATGAAATCAAAGAGTCTCCAATCTTCACAACAAAGCCACTCACAGATCTTCTGGTCATAGGAAATGTAGCTCAGTCAACATCATAGTAAACTGAGAGTTGTTTGGAAGCTTTAGATGACAATATGATCCCCAAACCTGGTGCATTCTTTAAGTACCTTAGCACCCTTAAAGCCCCATCCATGTGGGATTTCTTTGGCTTGTGCATAAACTGGCTAAGGTTTTGTACTGCATAGCTGATGTATGACCTTGTCATTGTGAGATAGAGCAACTTACCAACCAATTTCTGATAACATGTGGGATCACTAAGTGTCACATCTTCATGTGTTTCATGAGGCTCATAATGCATGTCAAACTCTTGACTGGTGAACCTCTAAAAAAGTACTGATTGGTTTGGTTCCTTCCAGCTCAAAGTCTGAAATAAGATCCAAGGAAAACTTCCTTTGGTTCACAACAATGCCTTCCTTATTCCTAGCAATTTCAAGACCAAAAAAGTATCTCATCTCCCCCAAGTCCTTGATCTTGAAATGAGCTTGAAGCATAGACTTGGTCTTTTGAATCAACTGAGAACTAGAACCAGTGATCAAAAGATCATCAACATAAACCAATATGAGGACCAGGTCAGAATCAGAGCCCTTTCTAAACAAAGAATAGTCATGGTGACTCTGAACAAAACCAGAACCTATAAGTGCCTCACATAGCTTCAAATTCCACTGCCTATAAGCTTGTTTCAAACCATAAAGTGACTTCTGAAGTTTACAGACTTTGGACAACTCCTTCTCACTTAACAGACCAAGAGAAGGAACCATGTAAACATCCTCAACTAGATCACCCTGCAGAAAAGCATTAAAGACATCCATCTGATGTAAAACCCAACCATTCATAGCTGCCAGAGATAGAACCACCCTTACAGTAATCATTTTGACAACAGGAGAAAAAGTTTCCTGATAATCCAACCCCTCCTACTGTGTGTAACCTTTAGCTACTAGTCTTTCTTTGTACCTATCCACCTCACCTTGTGCATGAACTTAGCCTTATAGACCCATTTATAGCCAATAGCCTTCTTCCCAGGAGGCAAGGTAACCAGTTGCCAAGTATGATTGTCATCTAAAGCTTTAAGCTCCTGATCCATGGCATGAATCCACTGTGGATTGTGTATAGCTTCTTCATGAGAAGCTGGTTCCCTTACAGTAGAAAAATGACACAATGACTAGGAGTTATAGAGGCATAAGACATATATGTATAAAGGGGATGAGCAGTAGAACAATGCATTGAACAGAAGGAGAAGATGAAACATTATGGGCAAAACCATGTAACCAACCAGGAGGCTTAGATAATCTAGTTGACCTTCTCGATTGTGTCTCAAAAATATCAGGTTGATGAGGTGCTGAAGGGATATAAGGTTGCTCAAGTGCTTCATTGATGGTAGAAACGGGTATCTTAGGCCTGTCAATTGGAATGTCATCAAAATCAAACATGTCAAGGATAGGATAAGTTGTAGGTTCTGTGGACTCAAGGTCTTGCTGAAAAGGGTATTCATTCTCTCTAAAAGCAACATCCCTGCTAATAAAGAAAGATTAGGTGGAAAGATTATAAAGTTTGTACCCCTTATGTGTAGCAGAATAACCTAAGAAAACTGACTTAATGGATCTAGCACCAAACTTGTCCCCATGTGTACTATGATTAACATCATAACATAAACACCCCACAACTCTGAGATGCTGCAAAGAAAGTTCCCTTCCAAAGAACACTACAAAAGGAGATTTCCCTGAAAGTGCAGTTAATGGAATTCTATTGATTAAGTACACAACATTTTGGACACATAGACCCCAGAACCTGATAGGCAAATTGGCTTGGAATCTAATGGCCCTTGCAACCTCAAGAATTTGCCTATGCCTCCTCTCTACTACTCGATTCTGTTGAGGAGTATAAGGGCAAGAAATTTGATGAACTATACCTGCAGCTCTAAACAATTCACTACAATGAGAGTTAAAAAATTCAGAACCATTATCACTTCTGAATACTTTGATATGACTATCAAACTGTCTGTGTATTAGATCAAGAAAATCCTTCAATACAATGGAAATACCACTTTTCAGTTTGAGGAGAAATATCCAGACCATCCTACTACAATCGTCTACTAATGTAAGAAAATATCTATTACTATCAGAAGTTGGAGTTCTATATGGACCCCAAACATCACCATGCATCAAGTCAAACACACCATTACATCTACTAGTGCTTTGAGGAAAAGGTAATCTAGTCTATTTTGCCAAAGGACAAATACTACAAGAGGGTTGTTATGAGGTAGATGAAACATGTGGTAAGTGCATTTGTTGAAAAATTCTGTGAGGAATGTATCCTAATCTTCTATGCCACAAATCAACAGTGTCCATCATACTTAGAGCAGTTGATGGTGCAGCAACAAGACCAACATTGTGTGACCAATAGTATAATCCATTCTTGAAATTACCAGTCCCATTCACCTCCCCAGTGTGAAGGTCTTGCTATATACAAATGATCATGATAAAACACTATACAACACTGAAGTTCTTTGGTCAGTTGAGAAATTGATAATAAGTTATAATTAAAATCAAGAATGTACAAAACATGAGATATGTTTCCTCTCAAGCTTAGACTTCCCAATGAGAGCAATGGATATTTGTTGACCATTAGGTAAATGAACCTTCTTTGACTCAGTTGGGGATATATTTTAAGTCTCATAAAGCAACGTGTGAGTGGATACCATATGATTAGTAGCTCTTGTGTCAACTATCCACCTAGAACCAGGTGAATTATATACTTGATACCTGCAACATCTGGAGACTGTGATCCATGTGAAACATGATGACCTTCTCCTGTGAAAGCCATATTTACTCCTCCTCTATGACCATAAATGCCTGCATTTCCATGTCCAGGAGAATAATTGTCCATTGCAACTTGACTGTAACCACCAGATCCCTGAGATGCAGATGGAAAGAAACAAGTAGAATCACCAGATCTGTGACCATGTCCTCCACCCTGCTTACAGATCTCACCTGCATTATGATTCTGAGGAAAAGGTAAATTTCCATAAGATGGTGCAATCATATGTTTCGCATTATGAACACCATATTCAGAATTAAACAATTGAGGATTCTGAGAGGAAACATGTGTATTGTACTGTACATTGCATCCCTCTTTCTTCTTTCCTTTGAACCATGAAGGATATCTTATAAGCTGATAACAATCACCCCTCACATGACCTTTCGACTTACAGTGATCACAAAATACATTAGGATTCTTGTATCTAGGTTTTGAAGGTTGTTTATCAGTCAAAAAAGTCGTGACATCATTTTCTTCAATTA